TCAGTGCTAAAATAATTGCCTAACTCAAGGTCACAGAGATATATTTGTGTGTGTATGTTTTCTGTTTTTTTTTCTCTTTTCGGAGAGGTTTTTGCTATAGGGCGCGTGCTCTCACCAGAAAGACAGAGAGAGACAGAGAGACAGAAAGCGAGAAATCACCTCCCAGGGGGAATGGCCATGTTGTAATCCCTTCTCCTCCATTCTCCTCTTGGGATCTTGGGGACGCATGCACACGCGCCTTGCGTGAGTTTAAGCCACGGGTCCAGGACTTGAACTGCGGTTGACTACCTGGGAGTCCAGTGACATAGCCATTACGCCAACTGCTGGACCCCGTGCGTGTGTATTTTTTAGAGCTTTATAATTTTAGCTCTTAATCATTGAGTGAATTTTCATGCATTGCGTGGAGTAGAGGTCCACCTCTATTCTTTTGCATGTGTAAGTCTAGTTCTCCCAGTATCATTTGTTGAAATGGCCGTGTACCCTCCATTTACTTGTTTTGACTCACTTTTCAAGAGTCAATTGTTCATGCATATAGTGGTTTACTTTGGGGTTCTCGTCACATTACACTGATATGCATTCTATATTTATGTCAGTATTATACATGTTTATTATTGTAGTTTTGTAGCAATGTTTAAAATTGGGATGTCTGAGTTTTTCAACTGTCTTTTTCTAAAAAACAATAATATTTATTATAATTTCCATCTTACATATAAACATTGCACATCTTTATAGGGCATAGTATGGTTTTCCAAAGCATATATATAATTAATAATAATCAAATCAGGAAAATAAACATACTTGCCTTCTCTAAAATTTATCATTGTTTTGTGTTATGCACATTTGAAATTCACTGTACTGGTTATTCAGGTTTTTATACATGTATTTGGTCATCAGAAAATTCATGACATATTTTCCTATGCAAAAATGCATGATGACTTTTCAAATGACTATATATATATAAATATGTGTATTTATATGTAAATAAAATTAGTGAAATTATTAAAACCATAATGAAATATCCCCTCACACCTATTAGATTGGCTAGTCTCTAAAAGCTGAAAGATAACAAGTGTTGGCCATGGTGTGGAGAAATTGAAACCCTTTGGTGCTGTTTGTAGGAATGCAAATTAATACAGCCATTATAAAAATAGTATGGAGGGTCCTTAGAATACTAAAATACACCTAGGGTTTGCAATAGAAATAAGGAAAGGGAAGTTAGAAGCTTAGGAGGGAAGTCTTGCCTGCTTCCCCACTGTTGTAGGAGCCTTCAGTCATCTCTGGTTCCTTTCTGAGTTTGGACAATTGACCTCGATTTACTTTCAGTTGAGACTCAGCACCTTCAGGACACCCCACAATCCTGTTCTTGTGCTGTGTTGTCAGTCTCACCTCACTCTTTTGCACCAGGTTCAGCCATCTATTCTACTTTTCTGTGTTTCCCTACCAGAGAGATGCCAAGGTGAATGTTCTTACCAAGTCGTCTTATCTCTCCCCATGCTCTTTAATTCTCATAAAAAATAAGTTTTTGACTTACAAACATTAGTGTTTTTGTTCTGATGATCAACTGTGATCTTTTTTATTTTTAAATAGTTATTCAATTTTAAAATTTTAAATTGAAGAATAGTAATTTTATATAGTACATATTTATGGGGTGCTATATGATGTTTTGATGTGTTACATGTTAATGCAGACATTGTGGAATGTTGCATTCAAGTTAGTTCGCAAATCCATCACTTCACGTGCTTACCATTTTTTTTTGTGACTAAAAACTATTGAAACCTACTCTTTTAGTAACTTTGAAATGTATAATGCATTGTTATTTGTTATATCACCATGCTGTGCAACAAATCACTACAACTCATTCTTTCTGTTTAACTAAGTTTTATACCTTTTCATCGATATCATCTTTTTCCTCATGTCCTCCACGTCTCCTGTCTAGTAACTACCACTTTAATTTCTGCTTGTATGAGTTTGGCCTTTTGGATTCTTTATGTATGTGAGTCACACAGTATTTGCTTTCCTTTGGTTCATTTTGTTTTTATTTAAAAAATTTAAAAATAATTATTAAATCTTATTTATTATTATTTTTAATTTGATCAGAGAGAAAGACAGAAAGAGAGAGGGAAAGTGAGAAAGTAAGCTGACAGGTCTGGGACTCGAATCATGGTCAGCCATGTGGGAGTCCGGCATCTTAACCACCACGCCACCTATTGGCCTCTGTCTGGTTTATTTTGTTTAGCATAATGTCATTTTTGGTTTATCTAGGTTGTTGGAAATGACAGAATGTCCTTTTTACAAAAGACAATAGTTTTTGTTGTGTGTATATATCATATTTTATACATCTGTTCATCTGATGGTGGGCACTTAACTATACCTGTAGTGTACATAGCTCCTCAACATACCGGTTCCATTTGATCTGGATATACATCCAAAAGTGAGATGGTTGAGTCATATCATAATTATACTTTTAGTTTTCTGTGGAATCAGTGTACTGTTTTTTATAATGGTTGTATTAATTTACATTTCTACAAACAGTACTAAAGGGTTTGCATTTCTCCATACCCTTGACAATACTTGTTTTCTTTCATCATTTAAAAAATAGCCATTCTAACAGGTGTAAGGTGATACCTTATTGTGATATATATATATGTGCTATAGGGCACATGTGCTTAGTGAAGAGACAGAAAGATACAGAGAGACAGAAAGTGAGAAATCACCCCCCAAGGGGAATGTCCACAATGCAGTCCCTTCTCCTCCGTTCTCCTCTCAGGATTTTCGGCACACACGTATGCACATAAGCCCGCTGTGAGATTTAAGCCACCAGGTCCAGAACTTGAACCATGGTCGACTATGTGGGAGTTCAGCAACATAATCATTATGCCATCTGCTGGTCCCTCATTGTGGTTTTAATATGCATTTTCCTGATAATTCGCGATGAAGAGCTTATCTTCATATACATGTTGGTCATTTGTTTGTCTTTCGAGAAGATACAATGGTATATCTTGGATACTTTCTATCTACAGAGTTTCTTTATTAAATAGGTTAGCCAAAAAGACCCCTTTAATTGGGCAAGATTAAAGCTGATACTCATTTTTATTAACTCATTAATATTAATATAAAATCCAATAGAAGTGATCTTGTTGCTTAAACCTCATTTTTTGAAAGGAAGGGATATTGATATATTCTATACATACATACATATGTGTGAAAGGGATTATTGGGAACAAAGGTAATTGAGATTTTCTTCAATTTTCTTTTATATTCTTATATATAAAAAATATACTCATACATTTTTTTGAACCAACTTCATTTTTTAAAATCTGTATCAGCAAAATCAGTTTTTTGTTTATACCTCAAATATAAGCATGATCAGGCATCATTCCTACTACTATACCATTAAATTTTTCAAATGTGAAAATAAAATCCTTTGAAAAGAATTTTTTTTTAAGAGATCTTTGCTATAGGGTACGTGCGCTCACCAGAAAGACAGAGAGAGACAGAGAGACAGAAAGTGAGAAGTCACCCTCCTCCCTGGGGTGGGATGGCCATGCCACAATCCCTTCTCCTCTGTTCTCCTCTCGGGATCTTGGGCATGCATGCACATGCATCCAGCATGAGTTTAAGCTATTGGGTCCAGGACTCAAACCATGGTTGACTACATGAGAGCCCAGCGACATAGACACTATGCCAACTGCTGGTTCCGAAAAGAATCATATTTTGATCAGCTTTAATCTATTATATGTCACTGGATTAAAGAATTAATTATAACCTTGAAATACTGAAGGTGAAGAGATCTGATATATGATTGGTTGGATGTCAATATGAGAAACTTGATGACAATACCTGAATGGTAGCTATCAGAATGAAAAGGAGGGATTATATATAAAAGAAATTGTGCATGTAAAAATTATGATTTACCAGGTGATTAGATGTTGAGCACAATGAAGTCCTAGGTTTGTGTTCCAATAATTGGGACACTGTTCTTTAAGAAATGAATGTAAAGTAAGAAAGTGAGGCTTGGGTTCATGTAAACCAGGTTGATAAGGTGTATTTTATCAAATCTATTTAATGGAATGCTTCATTTGATAATTCTAAAATAAAACTGAGAATAATGTCAGGCAAGTTGATATGCTTTTTTAAACACCATTTGCAGCTATATTTTTCTTATTGCTAGCAGTAGTAAAAATAGAAGTAATAGTTACATTTATTTATTTTAGTTTTTTTTGTTTGTTTGGCCTTAGAGCACATGTGCTTGCCAGAGACAGAGCAACAGAAAGAGACAGAGAGAGAGAAAGTGAGAAATCACCTCCTGGGTGGATCGCCAAACAGCAATCTCTTCTTCTCTATCCTCCTCCGGAGATCTTGGGCATGCAAGTACACGCACTTGGCATGATTTTTAATCCATTGTGTCCAGGACTTGAACAGCCATTGGCTACACTGGGAGTCCTGCAGTGTAACCACTACACCATGTGCCGGGCTCAATAGTGCATTTATTGAGTGCTTGCTGTATATTAAGTATTTTAAAATACATTACCTCATTTAATTTTCATATCCTTCCTGTGAGCTAAGTAGTAGTATTCTTTTATTGCAGATAAAGAAGCTAAGTCTAGAAAGGTAAATTGTCCAAGATCATGTAGTTAGTGATTATAGATGTACATTTTGAAGTTAAACTATTTGACTCCATGGCTTGTGCTCTAACTCTTTGAAACTCATTTTATTAAGAGGATGTACCTAATTAAAAATTGTCCCACAGAAGAATTAGAGAAATAGTTTCATTTATAATAGTCTTAAGAATATCCTCAAAGACTTTAAAAGAGTTTCAGAAAATTTTCAAATAAATGAATTTAATTAACAATAAATTATAATATATGGCAACCTTAGTTTTTGGATGGCAAGACAAAATAACAAGATATAAAAATAAGGTAATAGTTATACCTTCCCTGAATGTAATATGTATGTTTGTGATGCAGAATACTCAGTGTCATTTTGATTTTAACTTACAGCTTGTACATGCAGTGGGCATGCAAATATTTGTCATCTACACACGGGAAAATGTTTCTGCACAACTAAAGGAATTAAGGGTGATCAATGCCAATTGTAAGTATAATTGATTTGATAGAATTTTTTAGATTGAATTTATGCTATAGAGCTGAATTTTATAAATTTTACTTATGTTTATTGTTGTGATGGTTGAGTTCACAATTATAAGCTGTTTGCACTCGCATTTTATCAAATCTTTAAAAAAATTAAACCTTTTTAATAAGAGAGACTTTTGCTATAAGGGGCATGTGCTTGCCAGAGAGACAAAAGCGAGAAATCACCTCCCCCACCCAGGGATGGCCACCCGCAATTCCTTCTCCTCTATTCTCCTCTGGGATTTTGGGTACGCACTCACACGTGCCTAGTATGAGTTTTAAGGTCCTGGGTCCAGGACTCAAACCATGGTCGACTATGTCCAGTGACGTAACTCTTATCCCATCTGCAGGTCCTTTGTGGAGCTTTTAAACAGAGACCGTGAGACATATTTTGTTTAATTTTTAAAAAGAAAACATCCTTTTTGTTTCCTGAAAATATATCTTATGTATTACATCTGTATTATTTTTGTAATTTTTCATGTCATACCAAACTCAATGTTTCAATGTCTATGTCGTTTTTCTTTTTAATCTTTCATTATTAATTTTGTTAACTGTAGGTTTTTTTGTTTTTTTTTTTTGTTTGTTTGTTTGCTTGGAGGGGTAAGCTTATATTTATTAGCAACACTCCTGATTCTGTGGAAAGCAGATTTGAACTTGGGCCACTGAGTCTCTTGTACTCTACCTGCATGTACACTGTGGTGGTGTCATTGTACCTGCCCTCAGGGGGCTGGTAGTTAGCAACTGGTGGCGTGTAATCCAGCCCTTCCTTCTCAAAGGGGAACAGGCTGGGGTCCTGCTTGATGGCTTCAGCATAAAATTCTGGAGATTGTTTCCAGATGAGAGAGCACTATTTTTTTTTTTTTTAAAGAGGCTTTTGCCTTAGGGTGTGTGTGCATGCCAGAGGGAGAAGGAGAGGGAGAGGGAGAGAGAGAGAGAGAGAGAGACAGATATAATGAGAGGGAACATTAGAAATCACCCCCTAGGGGAATGGCCATGCCACAATCTCTTCTTCCCTATTTTCCTGGGTTCTTGGGCCTGCATGCTCATGTGCCCGGCATGATTTTCAAGCCACCAGGTCCAGCAATTGAACCATAGTTGGCTTTGTGAGAGGCCAGCAATGTAATCTCTACACTATCTGCTGGCCCTAGAGAGCAGTACTTTAATCCATTGAATTTATGAGTTTATAATCTTAGATTTAGCATATATATGAGTTATTAGAAAATAAATGATATTGTTCAGAATGATAAAACAACATTTTACCCTCATTTATGATTTTTTTATAAGGAGGGGAAAATTTAAATAGTAATTATTAGTGAGTATTTGGTGGCCAGTACTCATAGATAGAATTCCATGCATAAGTTTTCTGTTTATTTATTTTTAAAAGAATTATTTAATTTAACTTTATTTATTATTTTAATTTGACCAGAGAGAGACAGAGTGAGAAAGCAAGCTGCCAGGTCCAGTACTTGAACCATAGTTGGCCATGTTGGAATTTAGTGCCCTTAACCACCACACCACCTGCCAGCACCTATTATAGATTTTTTTTTTAAGTTTATTACTAACACAAGTGATAGAGACAGAGAGAGAAATAAAGAGAGACAGAATCCCCAACAGCATCTTGATGTTGTGAGTTACTCTCAGCTTTAGCTATCCGTGTATCATGATCATGTGCATGCCCAAAGTGGCTGGATCCACTTGGGGACCATAGTACCAATCTGCAGTCTGGAAGGATTGCAACACACCTGGCATGCCATCAAGTGCCCAAGATCCAGTGGGCTGGAGGACTGGAGGAAGGGACTTGTAGTGTGACCAGACTGTGGAGGGTTCTCATTTTTTTCTCTCTCTCTTCGCTCTCTCTCACATGTGTACACATGCCCTCTATCATGAATAAAGACAAAAACAAAAACAAAACAAACAAAAAAAAATATTTTCTGATCAGTTCACCAAAAAGACCTTATTGAATCCACTCTTAGTTACCCCAAAATACCTAATTCCCAACAGAAGTTACTAAATAGCCTGCTTTTAATTACCTGAAAATAACTAATTGCCAACAGAAGTTAATAAAATGTTCTGCCTTGTACATAATACATGTGAAACTGAAAGTATTTTGTTTAAACAAAGGAAAGCATCAATTCATTAGGTTAGTACTTCCTGATACTGATGGGATGAGATACTAAAGAACTTGATGAGTTTTCATAGTTAATTACCTTAAAAACTTGGGAGGAGCTGACCCCATGTTTTGATGGTTAAGGGAGCCAGAGTCTACAAGACCAACCATGTGGTTCAAATCCTGGACCTGCTGGCTTGAAAAACACTCTGGTAATATGCATGCATGCCCCAAATCCTGAAAGGATGGAGAAATGGAGAGGAGGAAATTACGGTGGTACTACGCCTTATTGAAGGGAGGCTTTCTCCCTCTCCCTTTCTGCCTTTCTCTGGCAAATAAATATGGAGAGTGTTACTGTCATTTGAGGATGAATACTCACAACCTCTTTTTAAAATAGAAACTTATGGAGACCAGGTAATAAAAGGAATCTTGGTCCAGATCTGTTTCATTGAGAGTGGGTCTACAAACTCACTCTGAGGAAACTAATTTTCTTGTTCCTAAGGGCATAATTTAAGTGGATATATGTAACATCCAGCAAATCACTCATATTGACTTCTTAATCTGTGGAGAAAGGGTCAAGAGGAAGTAGTTTCTGAAACTACTTCCATTTACTTTGAACCTAGTCAAGATGATAAATTATAAATGGAGATCTCATGCCAAGACAAATAATGTTGAATTGGAAAAAGACAAGGAAATATGTTCTTAAATATAAGCTGAATCCTATTTATAACTGTAGAGCCAAAATAATTCCCTATCTTAAACTATAGCTGGGACTGTGATGAAATATTACAGAAATTTATTTTCTGTCTTGAAATCCCACCACATGTCAAGGTGTACATTCAGTTTCCGATACTTAAAAAGAGCTTGGAACCTATGTAACTTCTTAGGAAACAGGGAATACAATGCATAAAAATATAATAATACCAGAGCCAGCTGCGTGGTAGATTTCTGGGAACGATGTCAGAGATCTCTGAAGAAAAACACTTGGCAACCCCAAATTAATCATTTTGATATGTAATTTATACTGCATAGATTTTGTTTCATGGCACTACAGAATTCTTGCAAATATATAGTGTAGAGATAATATAACATAGTTTGTAATCTCTTCATGAAATTCAGTACTATTTGTAAATTGACATTAATTTAATATTTTATTCTTAGTGCGTTTAAAGTAATCTCAAATATCCTCTAGACACATTACATACTGGAAGATATATGTAGTATATGCAGTGAGGAGCATAGCTCTTGGTGATGAGATTTTTTTGAAATAACGGGTACCTTTTGGTTAAATTCTGAATAAAATTACGTATGATAGACTTTAAATTTACCTAGTAGTTGCATTTCTAGAAAATTTAGCTTATGTTTTAAGCATACGAAACTGCTGTGTTTATATGTAAAACTGAACTAGCTTATAGGCTTAAATAAATATGAGCAGGTGTTTTACATATTTTTAAAAGGAATTATTTATTTATTTATCATCATCATTATTGTTGTTATTATTACTTTGTTCAGAAACAGAGGAAGTGTGAGAAGCAAACCACCAGGTCCGGGGCCTGAACCTTGGTCGGCTATGTAGGAGTCCAGTGCCCTAACTATCATACCACCTGCCCGGCCCTTTTCACGTATTTAAGTATTTGTCATGTTATTCTAAAGTTAAGTGCAATTTAGGTCGATTTTTGTGTTTTGTGGAATTGGCTTGTGTATTTTGAATATCTGTCATCTTTGGCGTTTCATTTAATCTTCTTATCAAATTCTGTTAGAATTCCACAAGTTTGGAGAAATACCTACAAATTTTTCCCCACTGAGAAAAACTGACCTAATCATTTAGTGTTGTGCATGTGTGCGTTTTTTTTTTTAATCCAGCTGAAAAACTGCTATTGTTCTATTGTTTCACATAAGATTTTAGAACATTTTATTGATTTCTGATAAGTTATAAATGGATGGTGCTAGATATTTGTTAGTAAAATAATCAATGTTGATAGGTTTATCCAGAATCATTAACATTTTTTATCTGCAATATATTGAAGATGAATTTTGAAAGGTATTCGGAATTAAAAATATAATTTTCTAAGATATATAATAATATTACTAAGCAAGGTTTAAGTGAGTAAATTGATTGATAATTGAGATCCCTTTTTTCAGTATACCTTTCCTTTTTACTGCTCTCACACCTTCTTCATAGCTACTTACGTTAAGTTTATGACACTGCTTCTCACAATTAATGTGCTCAAGAATCTCCCGGGCTGGGGACCAAAGTCCTAACTAACAGCTTTACTAACAAGCTCTCCAGATGGTTGTGAAATAACAATCCTCAATGCACACTGGGGAATGTAGCAGAGAGGAGTTTTATTCCTGAGCATTTTTTTCTCCATGTTTCCCTGTGGGCCAGCAATATCTAAGGTTATTAGTCATTTTTCTCTTTTGTTCTGTCAAGTTTTTTTGAGGGGGCCAGTGGGGAATGGTGGTGGAAGATGATGCAGATGTCCTTTCCATTTCAGGAAGATCCAACTTGTGTTTTCTCTTCTTGTCTATCCTTCCTCCTTTCCTTTCTTTTTTATGAGAAACAGAGAGCCTGGGGAGTGAGAGAGAGACAGCCTGTTTAGATTGGACCAAGAACTGAATTGGGCCCCCGTGAGGCCTCAGGTGCCGTACAGTGCCACCCTCTTGCACCACTGCAGCTGGACTTGTGCATTCTTCTCTATTGTAGAGCAGTTTCTGGCACATTATTGGGACTTTGTATATGATCAAGAATGTTATCTTAGGACTCGTGTTTTTCCTAATTACTCCCTTTGTAAAGAGTCTCCTATATTGGGAAAAACATACTTCTTTCCTCTCTGTGCTTTAATAGCAACATT